CCTACACAATCCTTCCTTGCCCCTCTTGCTCCTCTTGTCCTTCTTCACCTTTCCCTGTGTCCCACTGCTAACGCCACCGCGACCGCCACCACAGGCGCCGCAAACGCCACAGAAGATGATGTCGTATCACCCGCTTCACCTTCCCCATGCTCACCGTCAGTCACAGATGCAACGGCGCAGGATGAGCCCGAACCTTCAAATCCAACTGCGGCCATCAACGTCAACGTCGTCGCTCGTCTTCGACCTCATACCGCTCCACCACCGCTCGATCTCCTTCCTCTATAGGGGAGCGCGTACGAATCTGGGAAGGACACCACGCAACGCGACGGATAGACGATGGTAGGATGGTTGATTGGCAGGTAAGGTCACAAACTCCTTCGTTTCTACATGGCTTTGTAGCGGACAAGAGACTTAGTCTTCATCCGCCTGTATCTTCTCAAGTCCATCCCTTACCCACACGATAAACCGCTCTCTCATCCTCTTCACCACGCAACGTTGCCTCCTCGTCCCTACTCCTGCCCCTTCCGCACCTTCTCGTTGTAGTGGAGTAGGTGTGGGTATGGTCATGAAAAGGCGACGGACGAGACTCCAGAGGGCATGTGAACGGCGAAAAGAAACCATGCGGCGGCTTCCACACAAAGCGCGGACGAGGCTGAAAGGCATGACGAAACGTGGAAATTTCCTTCCTCACAATACAGTACGATTCCTACGAGGCGCGCTCGTCGATATAACCCGGATCGGGACAAATATTCTACTGCGTTTTTGTAGAATATGAGATGAATGGATACATGTAAATGGACGGGATCAAGAGAAGATTACAAGATATTCTCGAGCGCACAACGAAAGATGGATGGTCAACAGGCAACGGATGAGGGAATGACAGTGCTGTTTTGGTATGGCATAGTATGATATGGCATGGGATCACATGGTATTTGATAAAAGGGTTGCATTGTCTTGATGGATTAATGACGGAAACGCGAGGTAGGCCTAGGAGAGCGAGCGCGCGTGCATTCAAACGCTGTTCGTCGACAGGTGAATAGGTTGGAAAGAAGGATGAACGGAAGGAAGAAGGGACGGAAGGAAGGAGTCAAGGAGAAAGAGAGAGGGGCAATCAAGGCAGGACGAGAAGAAAAATCGATATTGCTCGAGCTGAAGCGGGAATGGAATGTTCACCTAATGACAGAGGAAGGAAACACAATGTCAGCCACTTTTGCAACACCCAAATCACTCCTGGCCGCATCACACCATCCCAGTCAAAACGAGAGCCAAACCCCACACCACCCTCACACACAAACACACACTTGCAGAAAAACATTTTCAGAGAACCGTTTTCATAATCAAACCCCTACCCAACAACCTCCTCCATCCACAAACCACCCACACCACCAAACCCTCCCTCCTCGTTTCCCAAGATCACCCCCATTCCCACCCACCCAAAACCATGAATCCACAACAAGACCACTCCTCCGCACCACCCACAAGACGGCCGCGCCTCCCTATCCAGCTCGACATCCGCAGAACGGACGGAGTAGGACGGTGGAAGCGCACACACACCTTTGCAGGAGGAACGGGAGAGCGATCCCAGTTGCAGACGGAAAGTTTCTTGATAGATGGAGGGGAGAGAAGGTGAACGGTACCGTGAGGTGGGAAGGGGAGGTGTAGGGGTTACGAGTAGATGAGGGAAGAAGGGATATGCGACACGCCGGAGAGGTAAACCTTTTCGGCGGAAGCACACAGTAAAGGGAGGTCATTCGGCACTTCCTATTTCTTTTATTGGTTTGTAAAGTCATCATTGTTTTTTTTTGTGCGTGTGTGTGTTTTCGCTTGCTGGTTTGTCCGCAGCGGGAACGGTGTTTGGAATAACGGAGGAAAAAGGTGGTAGAAAGTCTAGGAAAGACGACGATACTCACTGTTTAGAAGGCTTTGCGAATTGGCTTTGGCTGTTAGGACTTGCGGTTGTCGAGTATGCCGATGATGCTGGAAACAGTGGCCGGACACAAGAGTAAAGCAGTATCAAAGATGCTTGATATACCTGAGCAGAGTATGTCAGGAAACGCTCGGAACTTTACAGCTAATTTCGTTCTTATAAACTATGGAAATCCAATGTTGTCAATCGAAAAGAAAGGAAAATGATAAGAAATGATGTGTATTCAAAGGGGAAATAAAGTAAACTAACATGAGTCATCTATTCTCAACGTAAAGCTGTGTTGCTTGTTCATCATTCTTACCTTTCTTCAATCATCCACTCTTCACCATCACCATCGACATCAACACCCGACACCAATACTCCCCGACCATGTCTGTGCCAAGTGGAGAACCCTACACGCAGAAGCCGGTGGAACGACCGGCGCCGTCATCATCATTGGTCGCTGTCAATGATCAAACGGAGGAAACAGCCGAGGTAAAGGAAGACAGTCAGCAGCAGCCTCCTGCATTTTCGCAGTCTCAGCCTCATCAGCAGCAAACTCCCTCAACCGGCCTATCAGACAATCTCAACAACCTATCACTCCAAGAACCACTCCAAACACAGGCAGCCTCGCAATCCGAGTCCGCGTCCGCTCACATCAGCACCGCCAACGCGGAACAGCACACCGCAGAAGATCCTTTCGGAGAATGGGTCTTGAAAGAAATCACCTGGCCTGATCCCCGTATAGGAGGCTACAGAAGAACGGTCAAAGTCCTCACCCAGAACGCCAACGGACCATGCTCCCTCCTTGCGTTAGCCAACGTGCTGATCCTCCGTGGATCGATACATATCCCTGCCAAGCTAGAGAAAATCACGTACGATGCTTTGGCGACGCTTATCGCGGATTTTCTCGTCACTCGACCACAAGACTCGACAAACACGCGAGCACGGGGTCTGACACTAGAAGCCGCGCTCAATATCCTTCCGACGACGGTGCGCGGGTTGAATGTCAATGTCGGGTTTGACGAGATTACCAGTTTCCGAGCGACAGAGGAAGGAAGTAGTGATGAGTTGGCGTTGTTTGCCATGGCTGGGGTGGAGCTTGTTCATGGTTGGATTGCGGATAAGTCGTCCTCGGGTGGGGAGTGGGAGGCGTTGCAGAGAGTTTCGGACGAGGGTGGTGTCGAAGGAGAAAAGCGCGTGCCGACGTATGATGGGGTGCAGGACGCGATTATCAAGGGGTTGGACGAACAGGGCCAGAGCTCGTCAGATGGTGAGTTGCGCGCGCCATGTCGACTGCGTCCTGCTTCCTTTCCTTACACATCGCTTGCATATAGCTGTCGTACTACAGCAATTCCTGCAAAACACCGCGACACAACTTACGTTCCCTGGACTGTTCGCTCTCAACGCATTGGAACCTGGTTCGGTCGTTGCTGTGAGTCGCGCTCTCTGAGCTTGATGTCGACTGTTGAACCCGCTGATATCCGACACTTTCACCAACCCTCGAAGTTTTTCCGAAACTCTCACCTCAGCGTTCTATACAGACGACACAACCTTCCCGCGCCCACCACATCCACGTCCTCCCCGGACGAACAAGACACATCACCAACCCTCTTCCAACTCGTCACGGACCAATCATTCGCCTCTGAACCGGAAATTACGTGGGAATCCATCGTCGATATAGATGGAGCCGGTACGACGTATTATAATAGCGAGTTTTACCCGGCTGGTGGAGCCGGTGGGGATTATAGTGGGATGAGTGCGGGGGAGGTTGTGAGAAGGGATGAGAGGGCGCGGAGGGAGCAGGAGAGAGAGGAGGCGAGGTTGCGTGGTGATCAGGAAGCAGGAGAGGTTTATGAGGGTGGGTATAGGGGGAGCATGGAAGATCATACGGATCTGCAGTAAGTCGTCGGTCAGCTATGAAACGTCGCAGAAAACACTTTAACAGTCGCGGATCTGGAACCCTGTCCCTCCTCGTAGACTCGCACGTGCGCTGCAAGAGGAAGAAGACCGAGCGATCGCCGAACAATATAGAGATCAAGAGGAACGACAGCATCGACGTCAACGCACGCAGTTGGATCCGGCGGTTCGGGCGCGTGCTGCGCCAGTGCCTGAAGCTGGGGATGGTGAGGGTGCGGGTGAGGTGGGTGGTGTATCGTCGTCCTCGGCGGCGGGTGGTGGAAGGGAGGGCAAGGGGAAGAAGGAGAAGAAGGCGAAGAAGGATTGTGTTGTCATGTAAGAGAAGTCATGATGAGAGAACGATTTATTGCGATCTGTTTTTGTTTGTGATACAAGTTTCGGGACGTTAGTGATGTACCGGCTCAATATCTACGTCGTTGAAAGTGATGTCAGTCGAGTAAGAAAAAATTGTGCCGTACAACTCACACGAGATTGCTTTATGTCAGCCTTTGTGAGCTGCACAACGGAGGCGCCATTCCCGATCAAGAGGTTGAGGTGGACAGAAATTCACAATGCAGTCGATATGAACTTATAGCTTGAATGACGCTAATTTTGCCCATTGCTGTAAAGAATACTTTGTGCGTTGGAAACAGATCTTGCACAATACAGCACATTTTGAGAATGGCGCTCACATGTCGTCTCGGCTGTGTCCTTTTGTCGCATCACATTGCTACTTCGAGTGGCACGGCACTGTTTTCCCAATGAAAGATACGAAGCGGAACAACATAAAATTGGCTATCTATTCACCCTCCAATCATGCATGAGTATAAATTTACTAGTAGATGATGTGTTTCTGTTCGTTTATCAGGTCTTTCCCGTATAGAGCAGCAGTTGTATATGATCGCTGTCAGTGTGCGACTGAGTTAATCGAAGATATCGTAAGTGTCTCGTCCGTAGATGGCGGACATAACAGGTACCAATGTGTTGCGTTTTCGCAGGAAGCATAAGTCGCGAAGTTGCCCGTCATGAGTCGGTAGCAACAGCGAGACCGTCGACAGGTTCGTCCACCAAGAATTGCTTGTTGTAGGTGCGTAACCAGAAGAGCGGCTGGCAGCAGGCCTAGGATTCTGGGCTGGAATCGAGATATTGTGCTGGGCTTATCATGGTTGTTAATTCTGAAGACTAACATCCGATTGGCGACATGATGTAGTGGTTATCATGCCTTCTTCACATATTGAAATGTGGATACGGAGGCTGTCGTGAGTTCGATCCTCACTGTTGTCATACTTTTTGCTGTTTGAAACGACTGCGGGGGTTGCAGGAGGCATGAATTGGTCATTCCGCGTTTGTTTGGTAGCCACCTGTCATTTTTGTAGGGTATCGACGCTATGTGCCGAGATCGAATATCTCAACAGTATAGCCATTGAAGGCAAGCATATAGACGATTCGCTAGACGATTCGTATAGAGCAATATTGATAATGAATGTTCGTATGCGTGTTATACTGGACGTCTTCGCGCTTCCGCCTGTAAAACAAGTCTATGCTCGCGATACCGGAATGTCCTCGTTGAAGAACCTCCTCATGTCTTCCCTCTGTCCTACCCTATACCTCACCACCGGTACGGCAGAGTTACGGTAGCGCTTGACGTCCAAGTGGTGGTATAGTACTGCATCGGCCCACTCGCATGGCATCGCGGCTCGGAGTTGTTCGAACGATGAGAAAGGCAACCTGTGTGTGTATGGCGTGAACACCACCTCGCATGTTGCAAGACTCTGGTGACGTTCTGCTAGGCGCCGGACGCAGCTTGTTATCTCGTGTGCTAGTAGGATGCTGTCGTGTTCGACCGACTTGATCTGTAAAACAGCGGGTGTGCAGATGGCATGGATTTGGAGTACTCGAAGGTTCACCAGGTGCGCGAGGGAGGGGAAGAACTGCAAAGAGTGTAGGGTGAGAAAGCCGACGAGTGTTAGCCCACGTGCCGAGAGGCGAAGGAATGAGTCGAATCCGAATGGCACAAGGGCTCACCTCGTGAATAAACCAGTGCTTGTCAAATTCCACTAATAGGTCCAGTCGCAGTTCTTCAGTCGTGTTGGCAGGTCTATCGTTACTGCATTTGGTCGCATATATACCCGACGTCATGTCCATCCCAAGGTCATCATTGAGTTGGACGTTGGACGACAGCAAAACAGCAACTCCAATAACGATAACTGATCAGCAACAAGCTCCTTGAATGATGATATGCTTCGGCTGCTTCGGCTGTTATCAACCTCCGTTGATGACGAATCGTTGGATAGGTGATAGGTGAGCTTTCTCCCGACCATCCTTAGCTGCTTCTTGTTGGTGACTTGACAGGTAATAGTTTCTGATGTATATGCTAGTCTCCTTCGTCCAACCCAGCCCTACTAGTCATACAGCTCGTACTTTCTTCCTTCACAACAGGTGGGTAGTGTCATCCTGCAAGAGCACCGAAGTAAGGAACTCCTGTGTCCAAACAAGTCCACCACGTACAGCATTCAACCTTCCGGCTACCGATCTGTGACCGCCCCTGACGTTCTACAGGAGTTCTCAATCATCCAAGAGGCCGTTAATATCGGAGAACCGAGAGTTAAGCGTAAGGTGCCATGACTCAACCCCCGAAAATGCTTACCATGCGAACCTACTACTACGATTGATCGTCCGCTTCTTCAGGTCGTGCTGTAACACAAGAGCAAGTCGAGCAAGTCAGATGGTCTGACGGGCACGCGCACCACAAGAAGAGCACTTCGCCACTTGAAAGCCAAACCGACCTTGTGCGCTCACGAAAAGATTCACCACGCCCATCGAGCCCAGAGGCCGAACATCGTGTAGACCAATGATCTCACAGTCCTTCCTTTCTGAATACACTGGCAACCCGCTACTAATCTGGTAGCTAAAAGTTGATATCTCTTCAGCAGATTGGCCTGTAACCAGTCGGAATTTGCTCTAACATCTGGCCAAGAATGCAACGGATCAGACCACGTCCAGTGATGAACAGTGATGTACAGCGATGTGACTCGAAGACTTACAACGTAGTTGACCTCCCGATACCCACAGGCAACTTCACACCGATCCGCGTCATACCTTTATGCAATTATTGATGCAAGACGCAACCGCATCCACCTAGTAAGGTCGAAACCAGTTTGGAAGCTTTCCCGCAATGTCTCTCTGCACCCTTGATTTTGACAGCAGGAGATCGTTTCGTTTCCCTTCTCTGGTGATGTCTCCTCATGGCGAAAACTTGTGTTCATGGAGGCTGTACGGCCGTTTAGCTGCAGCCAAGGTATCACTTGATAGACTCCGAAATTTGATGAACGATCTCTTACAAGTCTCCGAGACTGAAGGTATGACAAGGTCTCCCGATGCAGGAAAGACCTATCATCGTTTTAACGGTCGAAGCGTGTATGATGGCGGACGGATCGTTGCAAGATGCGACTGCCTATCTTCGATGAGGTTGGTCGTTTGATGCGCCTTTTTCCTCCTGCTGGATCTACACAGCGAAGAGACTACTGAAGGCTATTGCGATGAGGCGTCTTTTGAACTTCGCAGGTAGAACTTTTCTGTCGTTTTCGAAGTTTCGAGCGATTTGATCATGATTCCCCTATTGTCGCAAGAGAAGACATTGCGTTTCAGCTTTACGCCTAGAGGGAAGCCACGACAAGGGTCTCGAAATAATCGAGCAAGGGCCAAAGAAGAGCCAAAGAAGAGGGCTTGATCGGCGTCAAACAGAGTTGATGTGCATTAAACCTTCATCATCGTGGGAGACATATGATTGAAAAGGAAATGATCCGGCTTATCGTTTAGCTCTCCTCGACACCCCATGATGACACCCCATGATGTACATTTCCTGTGCATAACCATAACCTAATTATCGTCCCATTACAATTTCCCCGCACATACCTCCCGCCTTTACCGCTCTATGCATGCTCTTCCTCAACATCCGCGAAATCGGTCCCATGGAGATCACGCCGCACGCCTACAGGATGACACATTTACAGCCTCCGCCATGCGAGTCATCCGCCTTTGATCTCGCAGGCTTTGGCGTGCCAATTCCGTTGCCGACTGCTCCTCCGGCGCCTCCTGCAGATGTCATGACGCCGTTCTGAGGCGGATATGTCTCCTACGATGATGAAGTGGAGATTAGTACGACTCGCAATATGAAAGGAAGGGGAAAGGGACTTGCTTTGTTGTAACGTCTAATAGCTCGAACTAGCTCCATAAACACCTCGTCGACGTTGATGCGTTGTTTCGCTGACGTTTCAATGCATACAGCTCCGAATTGCTTTGCTAGGTTGGTACCCTCTATTGACACAGTGATGAGCACTCGCCTGTCTGCAGTATGTATGCAACGAACGTACCTTGAGCATCCACCTGACGGTCATAGTCCAAATCACACTTGTTTGCGACAACTACGACTGGGAAATAGTCCTTATCCTTGACCTGTAACGAAACGTCAGTGAGCTATAGCTTCAGGAAACCATCCAGTAACACGTACTCTCAGGATCTGTTGATGAAATACGGAAATCTCGTCAAAGGATGGTCTTGATGTAATGCTGTACACGAGCAGGAACCCTTCCCCTGTACGCACTGTATTGCAAAGATGTTGGTTATTGCCTCTCATTAAGTGTGAGACTAAAAGACTTACTGTATTGTTCCCTCATTGCACCGTACTCTTCTTGCCCGGCCGTGTCCAGCACGTCCAGTAGTGCTACTTCTTCATCGATGAAACACTGCTTCCTGTACGAGTCCTCTGTGATCGAACGGGTTAGGTCAGCGTGTCTGCAAGCAGCCAAGGTCGACTTACCGATCGTAGGGTCATATCTTCAATAGCAAAAGAGATATACGTCTGCATAAGTGCCTGCCTTGTCATTACACCTGCACTGGACTTACTCGTCCACAAACTACGTGAGATGTCAAGAGTCAGACCACGTCAAGTATACATACAAGAGGCGACTCACATGTGATTGAATGAACTGAATCGTAAGAGCAGACTTGCCCACACCACCACCACCTACTACCACCAGCTTGTACTCTCGCAGAAATTGTGCCTTTGAATACCCGCATTAGGAAAGAGCCGAGGCAGGATCGATATGACGAGACGTACCTTGGACATTATTGCCGACTTTGCGGTTGCTCCAATACCAGCTTCCCGATACGGTGTCTCGACTTTAGTTTCCAATTGAAATTAAGCAGTATGATTCAAAGGTTGTGCTGGAAGGATACGAGCTATGCGAAGCAGGATCAAACTCCGGTTGAATAGCTGATTTTTGAAATGGAAAGGTTGAAGTCACCGGTTGAAGTTGTCGGGATCTATCGGGTTCCAACTGAATCGGGAGTCCAAGTCTAGATAATGAGGCTGGCCCAACAGGGTGGATGACGATATATCCTGATAGCAAAAGCTGCTACTTTATCTGCAGTAGTATTGTCGAGACCACAGGACGGCCAAAGGAATGGTGAGGTGTGGTGACCAGGTACTGATTGAGCAGTCTTGCCAAAGGAATATGGCAGACGTGAGACAGCTAGCAAGTCAAGAGAGTATTCAACACGCAAAACCACTGGCCGACCGAGAATCTACAAGAAGCAACAAATCGTGATAGGGAGAAAGTCCGTTATACAAGGACATGCGAAGAATAATAAGCTGAACCTAGCTCACTCTAGCGTGCCTCGATTGTTCCTTCCCTTGGCTTTGCCGCGTACACACACGGAGGAATCAATATCCGGATAGTGGACGTTGAAGATGGGTGCCGGGTTGGTTGATATTCCACTCGAACGATGGATACTTTCTAGCAGTTGACAAAGGTGACAAGGGTATTCTGTATAATCGGTACAGACACGGTTCGTCGAAGGCAGAAGGGATTAGAAGCGGAAAGTAAGAGCTGTAAATGGGTAAACAAAACGCGCGTACTGATGAAGCAGAGGACAATAGACTTTTTCGAGCAAGGCACACCTCATGAGATTGTTTTCTTCTGTTGTTTTCTTTGCGTGATCTAGAATTCTAACGATTCGAGCTCCGGCCAGGTTCTCGAAGAACTCTACTAGCTACTCTACTCTTTTAGCATCGCTGGACCCAACAGCAGGCCTGCTCGAAAGCAGCAGATCATGTGAAAGAGGAAACGCAAGCAGGCTGTTTGGCTAACCACTATGCAAACAAGTGGGACTTTATTCATCAGCAGGTCGCCTGATGTAGTGGTTATCATATTCACTTTACAGTACACTCGTACATTCATCAGCAGGTCGCCTGATGTAGTGGTTATCATATTCGCTTTACAGTACACTCGTACAATTACGCGAAATGTCGCCGGTTCGATCCCGGCGGTGACCTACCTTTTTTGCTCTTCTTGTTGGCGGTAACTGCGGCTCATTTTTTTGCGCCTGGCCGGCAGTATGGCACAACCGGGTAACCTCCTTAAATCAGACTACCCGCCATTTCGCGCGGATGCTAGAGCTACGCAGTGGTTATGTAATACTCACCTGTCTTAGCGACTTGTCTAACAATACAGCGGTCCCTCCCAGCTTCCCTCCCCATAACGTACCCTCCCCTTACCGGATCCCCGAGTATAACGGGCGGATGGAGCGAGAATTTGCTGCGCCCTCCGATGGCGCCATACATTACCGGACGATCCCTCCCGATACCGGATCCGGACGCAAAATCCTGGAAAAATCGGGGGTATGTCCGGTACTTTATTATGTAATCTAGACAATTTCTGCAGTTCTACCCATCCTCTGGCACTTCAAAAGGTCGTTTTGAGCTTGAATTTAGCCATTGACCGCTCTAGAGATGCGGAAAGCCCCTAAACCTGTCTCATATCTGCAAATTCTTGTTCAATGACTATCTACGCTTCTCTGAAAGCTCTTGAACATCACTAAACGCCTCATTCGACGTCATGCCTCTCGTAGAGAAAGTTCCGCCACCCAAGAGGACGGCTCCTTAGTCCTCAGCAGTCAAGAAATTCAGAAAGTCTTATATCATACTGTTCAAGGCTGAAGTTGTAGCATTCGTTAAGGCTCAACGCGAACGCAAAGCGAAAGCTCCTCTCGTCGCCGCTCTCGAAAGGTTCAAAAACACCCCTGAGGGAAAGGAGTTAAACAAATCCTGTATCTCTGACTGGTGGAAAGATCAAGAAAAAGTCACTAAGGCTGCGACTTCAGTTAGCATTGTCTCGGTCGAATCGAATCGCGCAAGGGCACGGAAGGTCAAGAACGAGACCGTCGAGGCCGCTATAGTGGAGTGGTGCCTGGAGAAAACGAAGCAAGGGATGCTCCTCTCCGCATTAACCATACAGGAGAAAGCGTTGGCGTTTCAGGAGGAGATGGGTGGACCTAAAATAGAATATTCCAAAGGGTGGTTGTATTCGTTCTGCGCTCAGTATGTAGTCTTCGTCAATAGTGTACAGTTCCTGGACAAAAGCTGAGACCGATCTGTAGTTACGGCATAAAGGCCACGGTAGCCCACGGAGAGGCTGGATCCGTGGATGTAGTGGTGGCAGACGAGGAAAGGATCCGGATCGGCAAGCTTCTCGAGGGGCACGAACTGCAGAACATATACAATTTCGATGAAACGTCGCTGTTCAGGCGACAGGTTCACACTCGAGGATACGCTGTTGGCATGTTTCAGGCGGGGGGGGGGGGGGGGAAGCAAGAGAAAACGCGAATTTCCCTCGGTTCGGTTTCTGCTGTAATGCGGACGGCAGCGACAAACGGCCTGTTGCATATGTGGGCGTTTCAGCTAAGCCACGCTCATTTGGAGTAAAATCCCCCAGCGATTTCGGGTTTCAATACTGGAACAACAAGAAGGCGTGGTTCAACAATGGCATAATGGTTGACTGGATGCGGGATTTCGATAACGACATGCGCAAGCAAGGAAGGCATGTTATCCTGCTGATGGATAATTTCTCGGCCCACATAAAAGGCCTCGAAAGCTTCACACCCACACACATCACGTCGATCTTCTTCTCCCCTAATCTCACGTCCCATGTGCAACCATTGGATCAGGGGATCATCCGGGCATTCAAGGCTCACTACCAGCTCCGAAAAGCCAGGCACACTATTGGCAGGCTAGACTCGAAGACAGACAAGCCGTGGGAATTGTCCATCCGAGAAGGAATTAGAGAAAGGGAATTACAACTGAAAACTGAAAACTGGGCTACTTGTGTACCTTTTCCTTGCCTCAAGGAGACATCACCTGAGCAGAGTAAACGATAGGCTAATCTGCATAGGTAGGGTGAAGCTATAGCGATGTCGAAATCGAACGTGAACATCAATGCGAACATTGATGTGGACAGTGATGTACAAATCAAAGGTGCGTCCATAACAAATGTACGCGCATTTTACAAGTCGAAACATTTAGCGAATTTTACAATACCCCCTCTCCTACGCAAGTAGCCGCCCGCGGTCACTACTTAACTTCCACGAACTTGTCTCAACAATACTGCATCCAGCACATCTTCAACATGTCATTCCCATAATCTTCGCAGAATTTGATTGTGTGTTGGTCGTTGGCGGTGCGGAATCGGTGCATGGGTTGGAGAAAATGCCTTCGCAGCCGTAAAATGCGAAGTACCGTTTAATGCAGTGAGGTTGTACTCTTCGAGGGTTGCGAGAGGCCCAATATCCATCGACAGCGTTCTGCATATTATTAAGTTATTAAAGATTACATCCAATAATTCTACGCTCTCCCTTGCGATGACCGTCCCATCACCACTCTCCACCAAATAGACGATATCATAATTGGGATAGATAGCGTTCTTGATGAAAGCCGCCTGTAGCTTGCCGTTGTAGTTGGCAAAGGAGCCGTAGAAGACATAGCCTTCGTAACCAGGGTTGGTGATGCCCTTTAAGCCTGCCATATAGTGTGACACCTGGATCCAACTTTCCATCATACATTTCTTCGTCATCCCCTTGAATTTTCCACCAGAAGGAATGCCGTAATTTTTGGGCGGTAGGTGCTCGATATTAGGCAATATAGCACCTCTTTGCAACACGGCGCCCGCGTGGTGGGGGAACGGGGTACCCCCGATAGGATCAGTGTGATCGAGAGCGGGGAAGTGGTGACAGTGTTGGTGGAAGACATATTGATTATTGATTCGTGTGTATAGTTTAGTGCTTGAGGTGGCAATGCGTGTCTCTACGACGGCCATAGACCCTCCCAGACCAACACAGTCTACACCGACGTCCACCGCTGTGGCCGGGTCTCAAGCTACTTCCACTCAGGCCACGGTAGAAGAAACTGACGATGTCGACGAAGGAACCGAGCGGACAGTCTGGAACGTCATCGAAGACGAGATAGTCGCACGTAGCCCGCTCGACGCGCGCAATAAGGGTATGGCAAGGGACACCGGGTTCCGTGCCAGCATTTGGCAGAAAGCAGCGGATGAGACCACTGCCAGGATCGATCGTATCGGTGGTCCAAAAATATGGAAGTTAGAGGTATAGTGTTTAATCTCTGACTTCCACCTGTTCCTACTGATCTATTCTACTATTCGTCTATATGCACTTCCAACTTCCAGGAAGGTCAAAATCCACTAAGCGCGCTTGTCTGCGCTCCTACTTTCCCATAACAACCCCCTCCTCCTCATAGAAACTGGATGCGACTATCTTCTGTCTATCTCAAAAAAGCATTGCCACTTGTCGAAGTCGGTTCCAACATGTACGTGTCAAACCTATTCATTCCCATTCCCGATTGCGTGCTGACATGATATCACCGCCGTAGTCGAAGACACACTATTTGGAGCAGGCTGGGATTCCGAATTCAACTGCGTGACCGTGCCGGATGAGGTCTGGGACGCTTTGGTTCGAAACGTAGGTCGGACTCTCTTTCTAGGTCGGACTCTCTTTCTATCGTCTGTCATGTGAATGGTAACAACAAGTGTGATTTTGCTTTCAGAATTCCGACAACACGGACATGCTTCGATTCCGGCATCGATCATGGCCCCCACTCCCCACTTACGAGGACATTCTGTTCGGAAGGACCGCAAAGGGAACATACACCCGGATCCCTGGACAGCTCGAGAGAACTCGAGTCGACAATGATGAAGAGCTCTCGGTGTTGGGAAACCAGACACCGCCCTCGCCGATACGCGCTACCGCCCGTCTGCCGCGCTTTATCGACTTCAACTCATGCTTATTAATCAACTGTTCCGCCTCAAACACCTTTGTACAAATATTGTACAAATTATCGACCGACATACGATCAAGGTGTGATCCACTTCTGATCGACCTATGATCACCTTGTGATCATCCTGCGATCACCTTGCGATCAGCTTTTGTACAAAGACTTGACCGCTATTAAATGTTGTACAATAGAAGTATTAGACTACCTCAAAACGCCTATAAATACCGGCCTTCCTGCCTGTGAGTTGTATTCGCCACCAGCCTTATGAATTACACAAATTAGATTAAGAATTACTATCACTACCTCCAACTTCGACTTGGGAATAGCTACCCTTCTCAGTTGGAATTAGTTAGTATTCGTTGGCAGTCAGCAAGACAGGTGAGTATTACATAACAACTGTGTAGTATCCAGAAAACTCGTTGCTTGTCCCAAAACTCCAAAAATTACAAGGTCCCGCTTAGTCTGAACTTGTTTTGCGGTCAAATAGATTGAAAAGATTTAAAAATTCATCTAGCGCGGCTATGGAGAATCGTTGGCACACACGACTCAGCCGTCACAGAACTTCTTAACGAAGAGTGTAATGGCCTTGACCTTCTGCCATTACTGGCTTCACCTTTGTCTTGTAAGTACTTTGTACTTGTATAGTTTCGATGTTGTTAGTTTAGTTTAGGTTCCTACTTTGGATCAGGAAAGGATCAGAACATTCTGCTATGTCGGATAAGATAAGTCGAAAGCCAATATTCCTGTTAGTCGCGTGGAAGATAGTTATCTGCTTATGTTGTAACTATATCCGTCAATACTTGTGATATCAGATGTTTTGCTATTTGCGGAACATATGCGCACAGAGTGACACAGATGTGCACAAGTTGTCGCCTAGGTCAGGTGACCTTGGGTTTTTCCCTTGAAGGCCCTTGGGAAAGTCGCCATAGATCTCAGTGGCGACTCATCTATATATACGTACGTATTTCGTTGTATTAATTTTTGCCACCATGATTATTTGATTCACGATTGATCTCACCAACCAACTTCCGTGCAGCCGCCCTTGACTCCTTTTGCCTTATACTTCGTAATCTAGTTAGACTCGCTATACTCAGTGGTCTTGCTCATTACATATAGTATTCCTTTGCCTACTCTGATACTTGTATCATAAAAGCATAATACTTTTGACTTGACCCAACTAAAGATCTTGTACGGTAACATAAGATAAGTAA